ATGTTCCCCGTAAAGCGAAACATGAGAAGCAGCTGCACCACTGGACCCAATAAAAAAATGGGCAACAGTTGCAGGCTTAGCGAGAAGCCGCTCAATATCAGCCACTTCCACATGGAGTAGATGAAGCACATGCATATTGTTAAATTCGAGAGTATCACCAGGCTGCTCACATACACCAGCTTGCAGCGCTGAAACGTAGAGTAATCATTATTCGTACTTAGCTTAAAGACGTTTCTTTAATATTTCTGCCTTTCCCTGATCTTTGATTCAACTCAACATGGTTTAAAATACTCCTTAAACTGATATTTAATTTAGCTGAAACTGAAGTAGAATCTTGCTTTTATGGTTTTCAATTCTTTCAGAAAAGGATTAATGGTCTTTTTCTTGAATCTCCTTAAAACTGATCTTAAAATTCCCCTCTTCTCAACAGTTACAAAGACTGGGCTTATATCGTTTTATATGTAATCACACTTACCGGCACTAACAAAGCCAGTATGAAGGGCAACAAAAGAGCTAAATGATGTCTGAAAAGTGTTTCAAGGAAGTTCCACGTTGTGGTCTTTAATACCAAATGCAGATTCTCATGTGCTTGTTGCTTGGCAGGTTCCTCATAGACGAAAGGCACATAGTAAAAGGTGTTTACTGGACCGGAAGAGTTTATAGAAGCTGTCAAAAAAATAAAATAAAATTATATAGAACATGTCCGGATGCAGTTCGAAGATAACTTACTTTGCGCTAAATGCTTAAAGCGATTTATAATATAGTACATAAAAAAATTGTGAATCACGAGCAAAAGGGCTTCCCGCTTGATGGGATTTATTGAGCGCTTTAAATTAATAAAAAATAAATAAATAAATATATATAAATCTATATATTGTTACAGTTGCTACAGTGACTTACAATATATAAAAATAGCTGATACAAGAGTATAATGGCAGTTACTATACCCTCATGCATGTCGGCCATAATGCTCGGCAAGCAATATAATTTTGATCGATAAAAAAAATTTATTTTCTGACTAGCTAAGCAATGTTATATAAGTTTTCCTTAGGTCACCCATAAATACATTAATTTAGCCAGGTTTTGTCATGAGTATCCACAGATATAATGTCTCTTAACTTCTGTTTTTTTTCACTTTTGTACTCATCATTAAATTACTATTTTAATTTTCGTTTCCCTGGATTGCTGTCTTATGCTGCATTGTTTTAATTTGCTTCCCTTTCCTTTTGACATTATTAATGTCCATCTGCACGTCGACAATTTCAATTATTTAATGTCTTAATAAGGAGCAGCTGGCCGCAAGTCTTTTGCATAATGGTTTACAATTACCAATTATCAGATTGTTGCATTTTGCTAACAATCTTTGTAGCTGCATAAATTTCAGATGCATAAATCAAAACGGAATCATTTAATTCAATTAACTAACATGTGTAAATAATGTACAATATCTAGCTCAACATTTAGTTTCCAATCCTATTTGACTGACTGTCAGGGCAAAGCAACTGCACTGCACTTCAAGCTTTAAATAAACATGCTTAATATACTTGACCCTCAAACGAGTTCAGCACACAGCTGCAGGCCAAAAGTTGAACAAAGAAATTTCCTAAGAGCTATGCACATGAAAATATTTAATAAAATTATAGTAAAAGTCTGACAATTAAAACAGCGGTAGCAATAAGATTATTATTTGTTTTAGATTATTATTATTTTTAGAATTAAAAATAGATTATTTGTTTTAGAAGTTAATACAATAATGCTACAAAATGTATAAGCTTAATTGAAAAGAAATGAAGAAATTAAAATATTATTTGTATGATATTTTCTAAGACTCATACGAGGTACGAGGTCTCTATTCGGAAGTGGGAAACAGTGAAGTAAGCCTTCTGATAAGAACAAAAAATTCTCGACAGCTATAAAACTAAAGATACTTGATCTCTATAGACTATTCTAGAAGCTACATGCAAAAATTAGGTACCAGTTATTATTTTTATCATGTTTTCTAAGATATAAAAAGTTTCATAACGTTTAAGGTTCTTTAGTTATTGTTTAATCTTGTAGTTTTATCTTTGTCGTAGCTAAATTTAAATTCATATTATATGTATATCAGCTTGCTCTATTCAGTGTAGATGTGTATCATTTAATTAAAAATAAATATTTATAATAATCAGGCAATTTTTTTTATAAAAAAATTACCAAATATTTAGATAAAAAAAAACATTTTATGAAATATTCTGGACCTTTTTAAGTCCTAATAAATAACCTAATGCTAATAAATATGCTTAAGTTAAGATAGTTTATCGCTAGTTAAAAAAACTTAGTTGAGGATATATAAACATCATTGACATATCGCTATGTTATTTATTCCGAAATAAATATACTTAAGTTTAAAATGATGTATTGCTGTTATAGAAAAATTTAGTTAAGGACATATAGATATCGCTGACATAGGTGTTATGTTATTTATTTATTATTTTATTAGTCGTATGGTTTTTGATATGATTGGAAATCACATATTAAACTGCAAATGCAACTGCAAGTGCAAGTGCAAGTGCAATGGCAAATGACATCGTCTATATATAATGCTCTTTTGGCGATATCGTTATAAATAATGACTGCGATTAATTATGATGTAATCCTGACGGCGCTTGCTCGTGAACATTTCTTTTTTTTATATTATGTTTTTATATAAATGTTGCAAATTTAATTAAACATTAATCATAGCAGCGAGCGGCAGCGAGTGCATTAAATTGGCGTCGAGCACATTAATTAACGACGGCAACCCCAGTAACTGGGCCGTAACGGATTTGTGTTATTAATTGAACGATATGCAGCGGTTTATGCAGTTACAAAACCAGTACAAGCACAACTTAATACCAAAATACTTACGGCTGATTAAGCCCTTCAATCTCTATATATATAAAACTGTTTGTCTGACTGACTGACTGACTGACTGACTGACTGACTGACTGACTGACTGACTGACTGACTGACTGACTGACTGACTGATTGGTGATCAACGCACAGCCCAAACCGTAAGAGCTAGGAATCTGAAATTTTCACTGTAGCTACCTTATGTGATGTAGGTGCACGTTAAGACGGGGTTTCGGGAAATTCCACTCGCAAGTGTGGAAAAATCGCGAAAAACGTTTGTATGTAACTTTTTTGTTTACGATCCGATCGGCCCCAAACTTATTTTCGAAGATCTTTGTTCAAATTCATTTGAGGGGTGTTTCGCACTTTTCGGAAAACCCATTCCTCCTTGGTGGAAATGGAGGTCAAAGATTTGGTGGGTGACGTTTCGCGCTCAAATTCATTTCCAGTGATCTATATGAAAAATCATTTGAGACGTGTTTCTCACTTTTCGCAGAATTCAAACTTCTTCGGGGGGAATGCGATTTAAAGATTTTTTGGGCGGCGTTTTAAGTTGTGTCTGATTTGCTTCAAACTTATTTTTAAAGCTCTTCATAAGAACTTAATAAGTACGTATTTCAGCGATTTGGAAAATTCCACCCGCAACAGTGGTAAATTGGCGGAAAAAGGTTGTATGAAAGTTTTTTGTTTATCATCCGATCGGCCCCAAATTCATATTTAAAGATCTATGCTTAAATTCATTTAAGGGGTGTGTCACACTTTTTGAAAAATCTATTCCTCCTTGGTGGAAATGGAGGTCAAAGATTTGGTGGATGACGTTTTGTGTTCAAATTTATTTCCAGAGATCTATTAGAAAAATCATTTGAGACGTGTTTCACACTTTTCGCAGAATTCGAACTTCTTCGTGGGGAATGCGATTTAAAGAATTTTTGTGCGAAGTTTTAAGTTGTGTCCGATTTGCTTCAAACTTATTTTCAAAGCTCTCAATAAGAACTTAATGAATACGTATTTCGACGCTTTGGAAAATTCCACCCGCAACAGTGGTAAATTGGCGGAAAACGGTTGTATGAAAGTTTTTTGTTTACCATCCGATCGGCCCCAAACTAATTTTCAAAGATCTATATTCAAATTCATTTGAGGGGTGTTTCACACTTTTTGAAAAATCCATCCCTCCTTGGTGCAAATGGGGGTCGAAGATTTGGTGGATGACGTTTTGTGTTCAAATTTATTTCCAAAGATCTATAAGAAAAATCATTAGAGACGTGTTTCACATTTCTCGCAAAATCTAAACTCCTTCGGTGGAAAATGCATTTCAAAGTTTTTTTTGGTGAATTTTATGTTTGTTTGATTCCCGTCCGATCAGTTTCAAAATCATTTTCAAAGCTTTTAGAAAACTTTGATTTTATAACATACGTGCCACGGGCAAGGCCGGGTTATACCCGCTAGTATATATATATATATGTATATATATATATAAATATATAAATATATATATATGTATATATACATATATACATTTTTTTTTTCAGTAATTTTTAGTTTTATATTGAGCACAACTGTCACGTACGACACGGTGCCCCGAACCGTCGCACATTTCATCAAAGGAAATTGAGCTTGAATTGATTTTGCGCACATATACACTCATACCTATGTGTGTGTGTGTGTGTGTGGGTGTTTGTGCCTGTTATATAGCTTGGCCTAATGTGTATCATTTGGCTGGCAGTTATCTGCGGCCAAATACACAAAGGGGCGGTAATTTTGGGGCGTTAAAACAAAGGGCCAACCGGTCGTTGGCAATTTAGGTGCTTCGGTTCCATTTAAGTTCGGCTTTTCCTTTTTCTCTTAGCTTCTTTTCTACCTGGCTAAGTCAATTTCGTATTTGCAATAACATTTATTCATCTTTGATTTCATTTCGATACATTTTTTGTTAAGTACTAAATGGATTTTATTTGATTATCATTATTACTCTTTATTCGGTTTTTATTAGGTGCTTGCTTTTTATTATAAGTTTTTGCAATAATTTCACGTTCAAATAATAAAGAATATTATATGTTTTTCTTTAAAGGACAATTGACTATATATCTTAATATATATTATATATCATTGTGTTTCAAACATGTTTTTTCCAGATTTATAAAAATCACTTTACCAGGAACACAATTCATCAAATTTATAAATGTAAGTAACCAAAATGTTTTAAATATTACACATAAATTACTCACATAATCAACTATGAAAATTTTCAACGGATTTTAATTGTTTGAGCTTTAATCTTTTAATGGCAAACTTTAGCGAAATTATTTTCAAACATGCATCGGGACGCACAAAAGCCCATGCTAGTTTTTTGTTAATACCCAAACTCTGCGCACACAATTTCCTTTTAAGCTGCTCACATATTTCAGTTGGCAATCTCGACCGTCAGCAACAAGTTTCTCATTCCGACCCGTAATCCTAGAAAAAAAAAAATACTGAGAGAGTTGCCCACGCATTTATTTCAATTTCATACAGTACCAGAAAACAGAAGTGTGGACCGAGCCACAAACTCATTTACACTTTTAGGCTAAAACTGTCGGACGCTGAGTAATTTATGCGTACAACGGCATTTAAATGCGTTTAGCAAGGATGGGGTAAGAGAAACTGTCCGAGGGGTACATAGACACACAGTAGAGTCGAGTCAGTCAGATCGTCAGACTCGTCTGTCAGCCAGTCAGTCAAACGGCATTGCCGGCAATTTGGGTTCACTTTCATTTTTCACAGCGTCCCTTTCATAAAAGGCAATGCGGCCAGAGAAGCCGAGGAAGCGGGCGAGAAATGAGCGTAATGGGTGCCAAAAGCCAAAAGAGACACGAACGACATTTTATGCGACTTTGGGGAATTGTTTAGAAAATTGACAAATTATGGTCATAAGTGGCACGATTAGTTTTGTTGCCCAAGTGTCCCAGGGTTGTCGCCTTTTCACTTGCTTTCTTCATGATTTCTGTTTTTTTTTTTTTGTTTTTATTACCACCGCCAACCACATGCCACATGTATATTTATAGATTGTTTCAGTCGCGCTGCGTGTTATTAATAATTCAATTTCGTTGTTTCACAGCAGGCTCAAACACGCAACGACGAGCGTTGCGTGAAATGCACCCCACACTCGTCCTGCCCAATCCTGCAGCTCTCCGACTGCTTTTCGCGTCTACCATTTTCCCCATACAGCTCATTATATATTCATGCAAGTTAAGTGCGAAAGCTCATATGGCGGAATAATAAATTGAATTTGGCCCACAAGCCTGCACAAATGCATAAGTACCTACACGTGCTGCCTGCCGTGAGATACAAATGTATCTAAGCCGTGACACTCACGCGATAGTTGCGCCAGCCATTATGCTACCTCTCCCCCCGAAACTTATTAATGTGAGTCTCGGAGACATTTAATTGATACTTGGTTGGGCTAATATTGATTAAAACTGCCTGATAGTCGCATCAGACGTGTGCGCAACTTGACTGAAAAATGGATTTAACCGAAAAGGTTAAGATTTTTGCGACTAAGCTATACTTTTACTCGCCTAAAGTTTGGATTCAGCACCGATCTTTAAAAATATGCAATTGAAAGATGCCCGGGCCCGCACGCACAAATTTTTTATTTAAAAGACGGTCGAAACGGCCTTACACGAAATCGGAACAAATTTATTTTTTCTTGATTTTGCGATGAACAGATTTTACTTTCTGTTTAATGACGTTTCTTTCAATTACTTAGTTCTAAATATGGCTAGAATAAACAGCAATTTCATCCGATTTTGCTAGGTTATTGTACCTTTGCGGGATTTAACGGGCCTTTATTTGTGGTTATGGATATAACCCAATCCCTACGTTGAGGATTCTTGCAGCTTCGAATAAAGTAATGCTTTTTATTCTTTAAAAAAAAAAGAGCTTGCTCAAGATCCTTGTTCCCATTTCTTTTCTAATAGAAACGTGTTCATAAGTTTAGAACAAGTTTAATCCCTACCATAAAAATAAAATTTGATTAGGCTTCTTTTAAAATTCGTTACGGATTTAGTAAAATGCAAATAGAGTAGACATATAATTTTAAACGTTTTCAAATGAGATCGGGAACGCAGATTTGGACTAGGACACGCAGCACGTTTAAAAGATGGTACGTAGTTGAGGGCGGGATCGCATGTATATCCTCACATTTTTTCGGGAATGTTGGAGGAGTTGGGTGTTATCATCCTCATTGGTTGCAGACACGGCGTTTCTTGTGACGGCAGTTTGTTGTGACCTTACATGCCTGATAAAAACGGAAATTGTGCTGAGCAAATAGGTTTGTGAATGGCATCGGGAACTTACCTGCCGTCTGTAGCGATCCTTCTTGCACTCTGGTAAACGACACCAGGCGCGTGCTGCTTTCATGACCAGATCTTTGGGACTGAGGCCGCAATGTTTGCGCCGATAGACGCGCAGAAAGTTCAAGTATCCGTTGTTTGTGATGGGACCCGGCTTTTGGCATTTATATTTCTTACAGGGCTTGGGGCATGCCCGCTTGCGTTTGCAGCATCTGGGCTTCGGCTTGGAACATTTTGGACGGCAACAGGGCTTACGCCTGCGCGCTGGACATCTTGGCTTTGGCGGCGGACAGCAAGGCTTAGGACAAGAACGTCTAGGTTTAGGACAGCACGAGGGTGGACTTCTTTTCTTCGGGCAACACGAGTCGTCTAAATCCGTCTCGTCGTTAGCATCGACATTTCGATATTTGTTCCGCTGTGCAGGTGACAGCCGGTTCCATGCCTTGCCACCTCTAACCACATCAGGTATATCTAGTCCGCGAGAACGTGCGGCATAACTTCGCATAAAGTTCACAAACCCATTATTGGTCACGGGTCCTCTGAGCAAGCTTTTTTGAGCTAGTAATATCTTGTTGTCGCTCATATCGACTATTCAGAGAAGGAAAAGTATCATGCTTTTGATTAATTAGGATTCAAAGGAATTTCTGTTGCTAGTAGTATACCATTGTGTAATATTATATTCAGTCATAAGATTGCCTGAATACCTGTAAATGCATTATATGTAGAAGCACTTGGAATATTAAGACAGTCCATGCTAGCACACAAAACCAAGTTCAAAGCGCATGCATATATTGTTCACCATTAATTGCAAGAATTTTGTTTGTCTAGCTGCAAGAGACTTGTATTCCTGGCCACACAGTTGCCTCTGACGAAGACGAGTACAAGGGCAGCAAGGAGAATCATGTTGAGGCAACTCCGAGTGCTGTTGCCTCGAGCAACAAAAGCCCATAATTAATATCACTTTACAGTTGCAAACTGCCAGAGATATAGAGAGAACCCCAGGGGTAAGCAGCTTTACGAACTGTTTAATTGTTGAGGCTGCTTTGACTTGCAAGCTGTAAGCCACCCATAGACCGTGTCTGCTAAGACTAACAATAGGGTTTACTTGCGCTGGAGGTAGCCCAAGTAAAATGCATCTCAACGGGTCGGGCAGCTAACAAGTTCTTATTGGGCTTTGCTTTGGCAGCATTGTAGATAAGAAATTGAAGTTGTACCAGCTTAAATTCTCGCATAGTTTGTGGAACTAGTTCCTAGCTTTAAGGCAACATATTGATCTAGTTGCAAGCAAGCATTTTAATCGTAGCAACAATTTGCCATGCAAATTTTCCCAGTCTGCAATTAATTTTAGTTCTGGCAGGCTTAGTATTTTCATGAATAATACTTAGCATGGCTATTTTCCACAGCTGTCCAGGTATTTGTATTTGCATAGAACAATGTCGATATGTGCACCATAATTAACCAAGAATATAAATAATAATTTATCTAAGCTAGTTGCAATTGCAGTTCCAAAAATATTAATATGATTTCTTATGGCCATGCATTAATTCTGATTTATGCCCAGCTGTGCTTGTTGGCCATAATACGCCCCATTTGGCGAATGTGTCTGGACTTTGCATGCAAAGTTGAAATCCATCCTCTGGCACTTAGTTGGTCAAGTCAGCAGCAGGAGCTGCGCTTGGGGAGGGAGAGAGAGAGAGAGAGAGTACCAATTATACGGCATATAAATAGTATTATGCTCTGGCTGGCAGGGGATTTGTTGCTCTGTTTGATGGAACTGCTGACAGCTGACAAGCTGAAAGCAACAGCCAGCACAATGTAGCAAGTGAAGCCTTGACAGTAGTTGCTACTGCGACTGCAATAGACAGCCACTCGACGGGGTACAGTGGAACAAATTGCGAGTATTAGTCAACTAAAAATATTTGTTTATTTAACTATGATCTGGTAAAGCTGAATTCGTTCCGGTGTAATAAAAGCCCGACCCGAAGGGCATTTCTCATTCTTTACCGAATGCTTTGACTATATAATTTAGTTTCTTTTAACCAACAGCGCCTGTAATCCGTCCCATTATCAATCTTTGTGACATTTTCCCTTTGTATCTATCACTATCGTCTTTGCTCTTACGAGTAGTCACCTTAGCTAAGTGCTTCGTGATAAAGCAACACGCTCTAGTATCACGTGCTCGTGATAAGAAAAAAAATGTATAGACGTAGCAGCTATCTGTGCGTTTATGCTTTTGATTAAGAAATTGACAGGCAGCAGCATTCAAGCTGGTAGCAGAGGCTTAAGGAATTAGGGAAGAGCGAGGCGAGTTGGCACAAAAGGTAAGTGCAGAGGGCGTTGAGTGATTATCATTAGCCGCCAGAATAGTTGCCATTAAGCACGCACAACGAGCTGCAGCAGCATCAACAGCAGCGACAGCAACAGCAGCGACAGCAACAGCAACAACAATAACAACAACGTGCAGTTGCAACAATGTTTGAGTAATTGTTTGCCGTTGCTGCAACTGCAGCATTTGCATGCATTGAGCCCACATTGAAACTTGGCCCCCATTTACCCGTGTACCTAGCCTTATCTCATGCCCGCGCTCCGCAACTTGCCGCACTGTCAACTGCCGTTGTCTGCCCGCTGCACGTAGCTGAACAGTGGCAGCAACTGCAGCAGTAATTGCAACAAACAATTAGCGTCACTTGGATTTATGTTTACGAGCGGCTGCCTCGACATTATCCAGCAGAGCCGGCCCGCACCCATACCCCCCCTCTACCCAATATTGTTGCTGCGTGCGAGGATTAAAAGTTGGCTCAATCACAGCGGCTAAACAATTTGGCAACAGTGAAAAAAACACAACCTCACTCTCGCTGCTGGTAATGCAACATTTTCGGTCGTGTATTTCGATTTTATTCACTCACCTCAGTTGAAAAACTCGTCCTTGATAAACTTAAAATCACACATATATAAAATTTACTTTTGCTACGAGCTAAAATACCAAAGAGAAAAATGATAGAAACTTAAAAAAAATGTTCTTTTCTTCGCAAGCTGTGAATGATTACTAAATTACTTGTGAAGCTGGCTTGTTAGCTCTGCTAAACAATGATTAACAACTCTACGATTACTATGTTTTTAAAGTAAAACTGAAAGCAAAGTTTTTTCTTAGTTCACTTAAATGGGAGCCTTCCCAGCTCTTTGAATCGCACAATCTATTGTTGAAGCTATTGTTTTTTATGCGTTATGCCAATTGGGTCACGCATTGGTTAGTAGATTATTGTTGTTAGAAAATATATTAAAAAAATCCTTCTGTCAAACGTACTCTTTGAGCATGAAAGGCTTAGATTTAAAATACATTCAGATATCTCCTCAACGGTCTCATCGTTGCAAGCTTTGAGTATTTACTGCACAGTTGCTTTCTCCTACTTCAGACATTTTTTGGGGCATTATCTATTATAAATGTCGTGAGCAACTAGTGGCCCCCTGCGTTGCTTTAAAAAAGACGAAATTTCTTAAAAAAGGAAAAACCTTTTCTGATCTACGACTCCTGGGATAATTGCATTTGCATAGATGGTAATAGATAACCGCAAACGATATTAGGCTTCTTCACAAATGATTGGATCGACAAGCTGTTTGGCTTGCCCCGGACTCATTAACCTGAATTTCATAGTCTACTAGGATAATTTTTGTTTGATATTTAACCAGCCGAGCCCACAGAAAACCTTCACACCTGTAAAGTGCGTTGGCAACCTACCTATCGAGCTGATCCTTAAGGCTGACATTTCATTAAAATTTTTATTTAAAAAACAAATGGGAGTTTCTAAAAGTTAAAACTAAACATGAAATTTTGCATAAAAAGACCATCCCAGGCAATGCAGATGTCATCGAATATTTGGTGTATTGACTGTATCCTGGCAGGTGTCGCTGGTAAGGTGGGCCTTGGAATTTTCGGGCAAGTCCAAGGCTGAAGCTTACAGAGTTAATGCAGTACGGCTCTGGGGGGGACAGCTTTTTGTTAAGATTTGTGACAAATTGTTTGGAAGGAGTTTACTTGACGGCGGAAGCGATCCTTTTTGTACTCAGACATTCTGCACCAAGCTTTTGCTCCTTTAACAACTAAATCTTTGGGTTCTAGATGATCGTATTTGCGTCGAAAGAGATTCATGAAGTTCAAGTAACCATTATTTGTTAACGGAGCTATAACCGGCTTTCGGCATTTACGCCTGGCACAGGGATTCGCAGGCTTGCAGCATCTGGGCTTGCGCTTGCAGCATCTGGGCTTCGGCTTGCAGCATCTGGGCTTCGGCTTGCAGCATCTGGGCTTCGGCTTGCAGCATCTGGGCTTCGGCTTGGAACATTTGGGTCGGCAACAGGGTCTACACCTGCGCACCGGACATCTGGGCTTTGGCGGCGGGCAGCAAGGTTTGCGCTTGCGCGGCTTTGGACAGCAAGGTTTGCTCTTGCGCCGCATTGGACAGCAGGCATCGGTGTACATCTCTGACATGGCGTTTCGTGCCAGGTCTAGCGTACGATATTTATCCTTTTGCTTGTATGTGAGCTTATTCCAAGCCTTGCTGCCTTGCACAGATATGGCAACTACGTCAAGGCCATAATTTTGCCGACTGTAGCTTCTCATGAAGTTTACGAAACCTTTGTTGGCCACACCCTTGTTAAAAAAACTACCCGACGCAGAAACACTTTTCGCTTCCATCTTGTCTCTTCTGTGGGAGATAAATTAGTTACTGTATAATTTGTCGATAAGCTCTTGATTCATAGAAAATTGTTCGCAATTGCTGCATCTATACATTTTCAAAGAAGCTATTCCAAAAATACACTTATATTATCGCAAGTCCTAGCCTTAATCATCCTTACACAATCCTTGCAATTCCTCTAAACTAACCGGTTGATTTATGAATTATCCGCGCGTTTTCTATATAAACGCCCATGCCACAGGCAGGCGCCTGCAATTCGTGTAATAAATGTTGTTGCACCATGTAAATGACGTCATTACATGTCACGGGGTGTGGCAACACTGTCGGCTGTCTGCACTAGCCAGCAGTAGGCGGCTTCACAGGATGTTATTCCTCTGCCCACACCTCGTATACCGTCCTTATTGATGCCTTAGGGCTGTGTTTCTTTCCACTTACCTAAGCAGCTTTATCCAAACGAAAATACAAAACTATTAATAAAATTTACCATAAAAGTTATTAAAATCGAATTAAAAGAAAATAGTTTCTTTCATAGGAAATTTGATTCGAACTATTCGTCTGCTAAAAGTGTATTGAGTCTCAACGAAAGTCACGAGGATAAACTGTATTAAAAAGTGATTTATAAATGATTGCCTACTGTTTCGAACAGACAGAATAAGCGCAGAAAGTATGTAAGGTGAAATCTCCATAACCGAACATCCGCCGTCTGGTTTTAGAATATATTCGGTTAAGGTAAATCATTATGCATAGAAAGAACGCTAAAAAATTGATAAAATTTGTCTTTTACGGAAGCTTGGCTACCTTAAAGGAATATACAATAAAAACTTTACTAACGGACATTGATATTAGTGGAACACAAGTACTGACTGGATTATTTCTCTGCAACGATTTTTTTTCGATGTACTTTTTATAAATCAGGACATCTGCGATAGTTCCTGTCCGCTGTAGAGAGTTTTCACTGTATAAATATTTATATTTATTACATTCCTTTTTGGGAAGCCGCCTACTCAACCCATACTTATTTATTATTTTCGAATAACTCTTTTTGCTCAATTGTTAGTTATAGGATATATATTGCAGAATGTATTCCCATATATTTCACTATAAAAATGGTATTCTGGGTTTTTCAAGCACACACAAATTTTAAGCCTTGTGCAAACAACTATTAAAGCCCAAGCCCAAAGAAAAATACCTTTCTTCTACCAATCAGCAAAAAGAATGAAAAAAAAAGCAGACGACACAAAAAAAAGTATGCAACTCAGTCGAAGCATTCGTTTTGATTGGATTGAATTGGTTTAGATTGCGGTAGCCTTCCATATGACGCCGGCGGATATAAGGGGCACATCCTGTGTGTGGCTTGTTGCCTTAGCTTGGAAATGTGCCTGCCTTGAAGAGGGGGGCACAGGCAGAGCGTAAATTATGTGTCTGTGTCTGCGTGTGTAAAAAAATTTCATTTTTTATTATTTTTTTACTATAAAGTTTTTTTTTCTGTCTTGCAGTTGTTTATTAAAATTGCAAGCCGCAAGCGCTGCGATTAAAACACACACTGGGAATAGCTCTAAAGGATACTGAATACACGATTCCGTATTCAAGATTTCATGTATGCTAGAAGCCTTTCTATTATCTGTAAAATGTTATGATTTATTATATGCGAGTTCAAGTTTATGTTTGGGCCATAAATTGTGAGCCCCAAAGGGTTACAAAGGCCACATTGCCCACAGACAACCTGGCCCCGCCTACCCGACAGCAGTTAAGTCAATTAATTGGCTTTAGATTTATTAGTTTTATTTTTTCACTACCCTCATAACCAAATACCCTCCCCCGTTCATAGTGTATGGCTCGCGTATGTGTTGTGATTTATTGCGCGAAGGATTTTAACCTAAAAAGAAAGTTTTAGCGCCTTGGCACGCACACAGCCAGCCCCTACTACATGAGTCCAGGTAATAGCGTATGCCCGCGAGGCGTGGCATTTGCATATAAATAGATATGTCACTTTAAATATTAGATACATGCGAATCGCGGCGCCCGTGTTCAACCTTTGGGCCCACGCAGATTTTGCGTGCAGAGCCAACAAACTCTTGACGGTATTCCATTAAATTAGCCTTAGTGTCAAATGTAACGCCCGAAATGCTGCTGACACTCATCTCAGCTATTTATTGTACTAAATTATTAACTAGGTCAAATGCGAAGTCAAACACTTAGCGAGCACGCGAAACGTTTGTTAAAACCCACAACTGTCAATTTGGCAGCTGACCTGGATAAAATGGAAAGAGCACTATTAGGGATGTCTTTATTGTTAGATAAGAAGCCTATAATTACAATGTGACAGGGTAACATTCTAAAAACAATTCACTGATTGCAATTTATCTAGTTGTTTTAAATTAAATGTGGAATTTCGAATGCTTTTTGATAGTGCGTGCACCCAAATCAATTTGAAGAAGGTTGTTCTTCTGGGAAAGCATCGGAATACTATAGCAGGTCTCATAAAAAGAGTTGGCATAAGTTCAAGTTTGGGTGGAATGAATTTTGTAGTTAAAGAAAATTAGGAACTAAAAGCTCGATTTATGTAACTTGTTTAAAGTTATCAAAATCTTAAGAAAGCTCCATACATTTTTGGGCTTTTAAATACTAGAAACGGAGCTCTACCATCTGCAAGCCACTACGCAGTAGTATTATATTTTAAGGGTATTTTAATTTTGTCATGAAATGTGTTGAGGCATCTCCGACCTCTTTAAGTATATATATATATTTAAGATCAGCATTACCTGCCGATATAGCCATGTGCGTGCGTCCGTCTGTCTGTTTTTATGCGAACTTGTCTCGTAGTTATAAGCCTATTGTCTTGAAATTTTGCATATCAAGCAGTACTTATGTTGGAACCGACCGGATCGGGCCACTATATCATATAGCTGCCAAAGGATTGATTAGTCGGAAATTAAGTTCTTGAATGAACAACTTCTTTATGTATTAAGATATCTTACCTAAACTCGGCATATTCCCTAAATATATTCAAAATCTTATCAACATCGGACTACTGTATCATAGAGCTGCGATTGGAAAAATCGGTGCAAAAGTAGGTTCTTATATACTGATTTCCAAGATGTTTTCTCAGATATCTGCAAAAGGGCAATGTCTACAAAAGATACTTTCTTGTTGTTACTTATAAAAACCTTAGGCTCGACATGTATTCAAAATAATTTTGTTTATTATGATTTTATTTAAAAATATCCAAATATTTGTTCAAATTATTGAAAAACTTTAATTCAACCATATTGCCGATTGCAATTTTTTGTTTAACAATCTTTCATAAAGTCAGTTGCGCCCCCTTTGGATTGGTTACACGGGGCGAATAATTCAATGCAATTTTTTGTAGCGTACTTTCTGCACGTTTATAATACATTTGGCTTTCAACACAAAAACACGTATCGTGTGGGGCTGGTTGCGCGGGTGGGTGGGTGGTTGTGCATTGCATGCTCAATAGCTTAAATTATGCGTGCATGGAATATGCAATTTGAATGTGAAATAGTTGACATTGGCCGCACTGGCAGAACCGCAGGGCAGCGCGGCTCGAACCAATTGCACAAAATCAACGCAAAAACCTCAGCAACATTTAGCAGCGATGCATAAATCATAGCATACTTAACTGCGCACGCACACACACACACACACACACACGCACAGACAAATATAAATTGGTTGGTTGTCCTGCTGCGTAACAGGCTCGCGGTTGTTTTGATTTCGTTTGCAACCTTTAATTAGAAATATTGCCACATTCTAAATGAGCCGGTGCCAAAGCTAAAACTGAGGCAACAGCAACAAATTAAATATTGAAAAACGGAATAATAATTATGAGGGCAATCGAATAGAGTCTGGGTTTTGCAATTGCGAACATTAAACCGCAGTCGTTCATTTATTTTTGCATTTATGCACAAAATTAACTAATTTAAGTGACATGAAATATTTTGGTTGCCATTCGGTTAGCAGCTGCAATATTTTTGACCCAAAACCAACGGACAAATTCGTGGCCATGCATTGAATTAGCCGCCAATCGTGTTTTAATTGACTTAGTTCGCGCAATACGGGCGTGTCTAGTGTAGTTTATATCATATAAACAGATCCACACTGCAGCCATCAATTGCCACTCAAAATTTCATTATCAACTTTTAATTGAATGCGATTGCTATTGCTTCAAAGCATGTACTATTTATATTTTTATTTGTGAGATGTTTTTTGTAATATCATGAATGTTTTTTTTTTGGTTTTAATTATCCAAATAAACTTTTTACTACAAACGACCTTGTAGAGCTTAGCTCCGAGCTATATTAGATAATGATTGCAAGCCCCCAGCAATAATGATTGACTTAATGTTCGGAGTGTATTTTTAATTGTTAATAAAAATATTTTTTTAAATGTTTACAAAAATATTCAATTTTGTAATTTCTTTCTTCCCGATTTGTTTAAAGTATTGCATATGGCAGATATTTTTTTATAGAGAAACTGAGGGCCAAATCTTTACCCAACATTGACATCTATAAAATATGGTAAGATAACTCCAATAGCTGGGGCCCAAGTTAAAATTGCTTTTGGACTGATTTTCCCTCAATAGATATTTATTTTCAACAAAGCTTAATAAGTTGGAAATCCGAGCTTGAACCGATTTGAAGCATTGATTAGAGTATTCGTGCTAGTTATTCTCCTTTTTTTTCGTCGTCAATGCTTGACAAATTTTAAATTTTATGCACTGCAATAATAAACATAATCATGCTTTAAATATGACAATTGGGTTTAAGTTGCAATGAATAATTGTTGAATATTTGCTGTACTTAATTTCTCAGAGGAATTCGTTTGTGATTCACATGCCGAGCAGTTTGAGCTGCAAGAGAAATACCTTTTTAAAAATACCTTTAATTATTGACAAATTTTAAATTTTATGCACTGCAATAATAAACATAATCATGCTTTAAATATGACAATTGGGTTTAAGTTGCAATGAATAATTGTTGAATATTTGCTGTACTTAATTTCTCAGAGGAATTCGTTTGTGATTCACATGCCGAACAGTTTGAGCTGCTAGAGAAATACCTTTAATGTGCTTTAGTTATGAATGCAATGCAACGACAAGCATGAACAGCTTTTGTTTCTTAAGAGCTTTCCTGCCAGGACACTAAACAATTGGCACACGCTGTGACTGTGCGTCTTGAAGGTTAATTTAGTTAGAAGCATTTCCAAGCTGATTCCTTAACTATGAAACTATGCGAGTAATTGCACAACACAGCAATGCAGTTGAGAAATGCGGGGACGAGTGGGTGATACTCGGTTGAAGTAGACAAAAGGCAACAAATGCTGAACTGATTTATCTG